TAAGCGCCCAGGGGGCGGCCCGAGCCCGCAACCGTCCCCGGGAGGAGGCGACGCGGCTGCCGGGCGCCCCCCCGGCCCGGGGCGCCCCTGACCTGCGGGCGGAGCGGGGCGGGAGCGGGAGGCGTCGCTTCACCACAGGCCGGCCCGGCGGACGAGAAGCTCCTCACGCAACGGCGTGCTCAGCCGCCGGCTGCATATATCCGGCGCGCAGCCTAGCCCGGCGGCAGGCGGCGCGGCCAATGAGAGCGCGGCGTTCGCCCTCGCTCGGATGCTGGTTGGCCCCTGCGGGAAGGAGGCGGTGGAGCGTTTGAGTGACAGCGCTCTCCGCAAACCGCGTGGCCCATCTCCACAGGGCGGCAAGCGCGACAGGCACCTAAGGGAGCCAATAGAAGGAGGAGCGCCCGCTGCTGGGGCGAGGCGAGACCTGATGGATTGCCCTGGCAGCCAATAGAAGCGCCGTGTCCAGGCGCGGCAGTGTGGTTGACCCGCGCAGCAGCGCCCTTGAGAAAGTGCTGGTAAACCCCGTTATCGGTAGGGGCGGTGCCCCGCGCGGCACGCGCAGCAGGCGGCCAATGGGAGCGCGCGGCGGCCGTGACGGACAGCGCGGCGCCCGGGCGCCCTTAAAGCGGCAGGCAGCGCTCCGCGCCAGCACAACCCGCTGCGGGGCGCCTGGCCCCAACATGGCGGCTGGGCAGCGCCATGGCGCCCGCCCCAATCTGACCTGCCGCTATCGCTCCCGCTCGCGAGCCCCGGCCCCGCCGATGGCTCCTGTGGCCCGGAAGCCTTTATTTGCATTGTGCCCTGTCCCCCCTACACCTGTGACATGAGGCAGCGCTGGCGCTGGGCTGCACACACCATTAATATCTCCCTGCTATTTATAGGTGAAGCCACGTTGCAATCTGCCAGTTCATAAATCATAAGCAGGAATTTTCTTTTCTTTTTTTTTTTTTGGAAAGCTTAACAGGAGACCAGTGACCCAGCAGATGGCAGCCATCCCAAGTGAAACCTCTCCGCCGGGGCACGGGCTCTGGGATGAGGCTGCTGCTCTTGAGAAGGTTGATGTCAGAAACGAGCGTCCTGCGCCCTCCCGCTGAGGGAAGCGCCGAGGTGCGGCTGTGCTGGGTGTCCTAACCACCTACAAAAGCTAACCCTAACAAAGCTCGTTCTTCAGCCGCACCTTGGGCCTCTTAACGGAGAGGCCTATGGAAGCACCACACACCGATTCTCCTTCAAGAAGTCAAACATAGGGGAAAAACAAAATGAAAGACACCCCTGGAGGAGAGCACCCTTTCACCCAACCTTCCTTGAGGTTAACCAAGTAGAGATTCCCCCAGCTCCTCATTTCGCTCAATAATCCAGTCTAGCAGAGCTCTTCTACCTGGCACGTCTCAAACCTCCAAGACGGAGCTTTGCAGAGCAGCAAGTCCGCCCTCACCCCTGGCACCCATCTCCATGACTGCTCCTCTCCCTCCCGCAGCCAGCTTGTCTCCTCGCTATCATTAGCTTTTAATCACAAACAGGCCAACGACCATGCCCAGAGTGCTGAAATTCCCCAGCAGCTGCTGCAGATCCCGGCTGATCGCAAAGTTCCTCAGCCGCTCCGGTGCATCTCCCAACACGGAGCGAAAAATATTGCACTGCAAAGAAAAACATAGCTAAAGGAGCGGGCGGTGGTTAAGCGGTCCTGCCATCAGGGATAGACATTTGTGCTTAGAATTAAATCCCTAAAATGCGACTAACAGCAGTTGGGGGTCAGGATGAACAGGGTAACCCCTGCGTCAAGTGCAATTTTGGGCAGGTTTGGGGGCAGTCTGGCCTCGGCCGCTCCACACGGGTACCAAGGCAGGCATGGGTGCCCTGCTCCCTTTTGCTGCGGCCTCTCCTCCGCGGGGCAGCGACTGTAGCTCAGTCCCTGCCGCTCTGTTTAGTTAACCCCAGTCAGTGGCCCGTGGATGACTTTGCAAAATCTTTTGAAAAACGCTTTTTTCAAGGTGTTTTGACCCCGCGTCACCCCATGCCCGTGTGGGCCCTTGTGACAGCCCCGCTTCGCTGGGACAGGGGACAAACCGGCCCCAGCTGCCTGGCACGCTCAGATGTATGTTATATACGACATATTATATATTACATGTAATTATGTATGACAATATTTAATGTCATCTGTTATGTCTTACTGCAGTGTATATTACATATCCTATGCTATTACGTATTATGTGTCATGTCATCCCTCGTTTCAGTAAATCTGTATGTATCACTCCGGTGTGCATCACTGTGCAGGGAGGGAGGGCTCTGGGTGAGGCCTCCATGGAGTGCGGGGTGTGGGAGGGCCGGGGGACCCCCGTGCGGGGCCGGGGTCTGTGCGGGGCCGCGGGGGAGGCTGTGACCAGGGCGGGGAGGCCGCGGTGGCCGCAGGGGCCCGGGGAGGCCGCGGAGGCTCCGTGGTGGCTGGGGGAGCTCGGGGAGGCCCCGCGGTGGATGGAGCGGCCTGTGGAGGCGGCGGAGGCCCCGCAATGGCCGGTCCGGCCCGCGGAAGCCCCGCGCTGCCCCCGCGGGAGCGGAGCGGAGCGCGGCCCGCCCCTTCCTCCGCCCCGCCCCGCGCCCGGAGCCGCCGCCGCGCTCGGCCATGCCGGTGGGTGCCGGGCCGGGGGGGCCGGGCCGGGGGGTCGCGGGGGCCTCGCGGGCGGCGGGGGGTCCCTGCGCGGCTGGGGCTGCCCCGCAGCGCGGGCCGCGGCTGCCCCGCTCCGTCCCGCGGCGCCGCTGCGGGGTGCGGGCCCCGCCGCGCGGCCGGCAGCCCCCGGCACCCCGAAACCCGCCGCCTTCCAGCCGCCCTTCTCGCGGCCTCCCCAGCGCGCCCCATTACAGGCTCGTCAATAAAAGGCTAATTGCGCTTCAAAACGTTAACGGGAGCAGCCGACCCTAAATCCCTTTCCAGGCGGGTTTTCCCTGAAAACTTGACAGGACCCCGAGAAAACGGAGCTTCCCTGGGAGCGGAGCCGCTTTGGGGAGGGGGCTGCTCCAGACATCGGGGTACCTGAGCCGGGTGTTGTGTGCGGGCCCCGCAGGGACGGCACGCGAGGGGAACCCGGAGCTGTAGCTTTTCCCAACGCTTCAGCTTTCCCTGAGGATCCCTTTGGCCGTGTTGGCCATTTGGGAGAGACGGGTGTCATGCTGCATCTCGGGGACCAAAGCGCAGGGGAAGGGGCGCTCACCAAGCCGCCCCTCACGGCTCCTCTGCCTCTTTCCAGAAACACGAGTTCTTTGTGGACATGACCTGCGAAGGCTGCTCCAATGCAGTCACCCGCGTCCTGCACAGGCTGGGAGGTGAGTGGAGCGCCCATTGGTGCCGACAGCGGCTACGTGGAAGCCCCTTCTGCCCGCCCTCCGCTGGGCAAGGGTTGGTCGGTGACGCAGCATCGGCAGGAGTGCTGTGCTCGCCCGGCTCTCAGTGAGCACGGCCGAATCCCGGACCTGCCGGGAGGCGCCGCGGCGTCCGTGAGGAGCGTCCGCGAGGAAGGGAGCTGGAAGTCTTGCTAAGCGTTGCCTGAAATGTTCGGGGTGGTCCCCAGGCTGTCACCCGCTTCCAAGCATAGAGCAGTCACTCTGAGAAGCTGCAAAGCTCAGGGATTCACTCCACAGCTTTTTGCCTTTTCTCTTCTTTTTTCTTTTTCTTTTTTTCTTTTTCCTCTTTGCTACTGGGAAAATTATAACCTATGTTTATAGGTTGCTCCATGGTGCTGAGATTACCAAGAGAGAAGGATCAGGTCCCCGCTTACCAGCCAGGAGGACCTGTCGCTCTGCTCCCCTTCCCCACCAGGGGAGAAGGGCTTTCAGTCACCCAGCCTAAGGCCCTGGGGTTTCTCCAGGACCCTGTTGCCTGGCAGAAGCAATTCCACTCTGTGTGGGTTTGTAAGCACTTCTCTCTCTTGAACATGCTGGCCGATTTCTGCCTGCTGTGATGAAGCGGCAGAGCTCTCGAAACTGCTCCACTCCTACAAGTTTTGTGAAAATAGTTGTCTGCTTGCAGACATCATGACCCGTTGCTCTCACAGGCTTCAGAGCGGCTCACCCCCTAAGAAGCGCCTTGTGCTTCCTCCTGCCTGCAGCTGCGCTGCCCCTGAAAGACTCTGTCCTGCCCCAGCCCCTGTGCCCATCCCTGGTGCCCATCAGCATGGACTGAGCTGGTTGGAAAATACAGAGGCTGATTTAAACTCAGCTCATCCTAGATACTGCAAGAGGGGGAGCGTTCCCTCGCGCTCAGATCATCAGGCCGCTCAGCCTTGGAACGTGTTTTTCCTCTCCTCTTAGGTGTCCAGTTTGATATTGACCTGCCCAACAAGAAGGTTTGCATCGACTCGGAGCACAGTGTTGACACTCTCTTGGAAACCCTGAAGAAGACTGGAAAGAATGCGTCCTACCTGGGGGAGAAGTCTGTGCAATAGACTTCCCTGCTATGATGAGGTTGGATATAAATACTGGGCATGTGAAACACTGCAGAGGGAGATCGGAGCTTATTCCAGCTCTCCCAGTAAACCAGGCTGCTTCCTGGGAGGCACGAAGGAGGAAAGACTTGCTGGTCCACCTTCAGCAAGCTCCTCGTGTTGAAAGAGTGCCTGGATCACATGCAGGCAGCTCCCTTGCTGTTGGGGACCCCTCAGTTACTCTGCAAAGCCTATGTGACCATGGTTGCCAAAGGAGGCTAGAATCTGACAGCTTGGGAAGTTCTGACTGATATTGTTTATTATCTGGTCAGATTGCATGGAGAGGTTCCATGCAGGCAGTGTGGCTTTCTCAGGGGGACCTGGAGTTGTTCTAGAGCCCATCACACGAAAACAGACCCCAAAGGCTGTTTTCTAACAGCACCCAGTGCCCCAAAGGCACTAGCTGTGCAGGCATCGCAGCCCCAAATGTTATCAGGGAGGGCAGTGGGGCAGACGGCCCCATGTGGATGTGTGTGCAGGAGGTTGTTCATTAGCAAAGGAATCTCCAGCTCCAGCTTTTACTGCTTTTGCTATTACATCCTCCACCAAACAGGAAGATGGGCAGGATCTGCCCTCACGGATGTGAAGTGGTGGATTTCAGCTCAGTTCCCAGTGCCCACAGCCCCCAGCCAGCCAGACATCTGTCCCACAGACAACCTGATTGCTGCAGCCTGTGGATTTCCCTGGAGCCCCAGCCCTGTGCTGCCATGCACCAAGCTCTCACCCAACTGTGAAGTATTTTTACAAGAAAGGGTACCACTTTGGATGTAAAAGAGTGAAATAGGAGAAGGCTGCCCCTCATTGCAAATGCTTTTCTTTTTGTCCAAAATTATATAGCGTCTCTGAAAAGCTTCTTTCTGTCAGTGTAGCTTTCCAGTTCAGCAGCACTTTCTAAATGACTTGATTTTGATCAGCACAGATGCCCAGCATGGACGCACTGAAACCGTTTCATGCTGATTTAATTTCCAGTCGATAACCTCAGTTTAAACTGATAATTTACACCCGCAGGAATTAAGCTGATAAAAGAAAGGGTTGAACTGATTGCCATGTGCCTATGCAAGCCCAGCTTAACAGATTTAAAATCTATGCAATTTTCTCCTGTGAACAACCTCACAGTACTTCTTAGATGTTATTTAAATCTTAATTTTCTAATCAAACATTATTGGTATTTAAAACAGATAGAGAAACATATTCTGGGTTGAATAAGAGCTGATTGTTTTTCACCTCCTAGTCTGTATTGATTACAAGAGCTCTTTTCTAGGGGTTGTGGACTATATCCAGAGGTCTGCAAAAGTTAATCAAGGCTGCAGTTTCCCATGAGAGCTGCCAAGCCAGGGCTGAATAATGTTGAGGTATCCCTTTTTTAACCATCCCTGTATCTCTAGCCCAGCCTTCTCTTCATTTTCCATACATTAGATCAAGGCAGCTGGGAGAGCCCGTTCACCTGGAGAGCCTGCAAGGAAACTACCATTTTCCTAAATGCTCCCTCTCTCTCTTCCATTGGGATTTAATTGAAGCCAGTTGATTTATCCCGTAATCACTAAATCCAAACAAAAGAGGGGGAGGCTGATTTGCCCCTTCTGGTAGTTTGTTGTTAGATGACTGTGGCTGTCATGGGAAAAGTCACTTGGCTTTTACAACATGTTTGCTTCCACAAGGAATATTGTGTTTTTAGGGGTTCATTTAGAAGGGGGTGACAAATCACTGACCGAGAGCTCCCATCAGTGGCTTTCCTTTGAGCTGTGACCGGCAGAGGGCATCTTTGTATAACTTTATTGCCTCTGTGCCTTGTTTCTTCTATTTATTTATTTATTTATTTATTTATTTATTTTAGGAACTCAGCTATGACTTCGGAATAAAAGACAACTTAACTGTTTACGTATCTCCCAGCTCGCCCTGTCCTTTGACCTTTGCTGCCCTGCCAGACGTCAGCAAGCAGCGAGCTGGCAGCAGGACACAGCTGCATCCTGTCTCTGGAAGCAGAGGCAGCGGAGAAGAAGGTTATATTCTGTTTTGCATCACTCAGTAAATCAAAGCAGTGCTTCTATATTTCAGTGCATGTCTGTGTGTGTTGTGTGTCTTTGCACTGCTTTAGATGGCTTTCTGCAAGAGCGATGGCTCGTAGGGATGGGATCTGGCCCATTTATATGCAAGACAAGTCTCAGAGGAAATTGCACCTATCTTTAGAAGTTGGCTGCAGCCTCTGCATGTGTGTCTCAGGAGAGCTGGGTTTGAATGTTGCTTAAATTGAGGGAATCTGTCCCAGCAGATGTTTGTTTTCATCATAGAACAGACAAACTTTCCATTTGGGCTGCAAATCCTGGGAAGGAGGGACTTCAGCAGAGCGGGTCCTGCAGGTCTGGGACTACCAAATATTATTTTGGGCCAGGTGAGGCTGTAAAAAACAGAATTCTCTGGTCTCCAGCAACGTGGTTTGCTGACAGCCTAAGCAAATTACAGGTCAGAGCAGGAAACACAGATTCAGCTTAGGTTTAATACAGTGCGTTCTAGAGCACTGCATAACCATATGCATGTGAGGAATCAATCTGCATTCTGGCCCCAGCTCAAGACATCTAGATCCATCCCTTCCCTCAGCAAGTGTTCCTCTTGCTCCCTTCCCAGCCCACTTAAAACGTTTCAGCTCAATAGGTAATAGCATCATGGGGCTGTGATCCCGGGAGGAATCCCCACGTGCTCTCTGCACACACGACCACAGCAGGAGAACTGTGCTGGTAAGAAAGGCAGAAGGCCTGGAGGAAGCAGAGGGCTGTGGGAATCTCTCCAAGGTCTCTTAATTCTCAGCCCAGCATTCACTTCAAGGATTATTCTGTTGCTTAGCTCAGCTTCTATCCAATAAATGCAGGTTTCTCAGGCCAGCGTAAGTGCCATGCGTGTGTCCATCCCAGCAGGCTCTCATTGCACCTGGAAGACAGAACTCTGATCCTCACCAGTTGTGTGTGGCTTGTTCTCTATCTTCTCTCTGCTGCTGTGGATGCACTTGCAGGGGCTAGAGGCACTTCAAGCAACACGTTATAGATATTTTCTACTACTTTTTTAAGGGAAGCCACATGCTAAAGGCCTAACTTTACTGCATTGCTTTCTTGCATTAAAGTCCCCCAGTGGCAGGAAGTTTCTCAGAGCCACAACCTCTTGCTGCTCTGCACCACTGCAGGGCAGGGCAAGACACATGCGGGGTCCCAGGTGAGTGAGGACAACAGCTCCCGCATGAATCCTTCACCCCAATCCCTCCGTTGCTGGTTTTAGTTGATGCCTGCCAGTGTCAATTATTACTTATTGCTTTCAGCTATTATTATTTATTGCTTTCAGCTCCCTGCTGGGCTGAGGCAGTGCCTCCAGCGGCAGTGCACACTGGCTGCTGTGCATGGTGGTGAAGGGCACGCCGTGCTGCTGCTCAGCGCTGCCCCAAGGCCGGCACGCGGAGCCAGCGGTGCCTGTGACAGGGCTGAGCCTGCACGGGGAGAGCTCCAGGCCGGCCTGCTGCAAATCAGGCTGCTCGTCCTTGACGTCTGGCTTGCAGCGTGTGCTGTCCACACTGCCCTGGCTCTTTTGTTCCTCGCTGCCCGCTCTGCTGACCTGGCTGTTTGGGTTTAAACACGCTTATCTCCGAGCAGACGAGCAGCGGTGTCTGCCCGCAGCGAGCCGGCAGGGTCATGTAGCCACCTGAAGCTCCAGCACCCGCCATCTCCCAGGCCTTCCCTTGGCCATGGGAATCCGTGCCCAGGAGCGGAGAGCAGTGTCTCTTCCCAGAGCCTGCCCGGAGCCCGTCCCTATCCACCGGAGCAGAGCTGAGCCCTTCCCCTCGCACCCGCTGCCTCGGGCTTTGATGGGTGTCCCTCGCTGTCTTAGCAGGCAGGTCTGGTGTGATCCCCCCTAGAGACAGGATGAGGATGAGTACCCTCCCCAGGGGCTCCTCTGAGCCCTGCTCCCGCCAGCCCTTGGTAACCCCCAAGGCTCCGACCGTCCCCTCATATCCCTGTTACTCCCTTTCTCCTGGCCCCGTGGGAAAGGGAAAGCAGCTGCTAGGGTTTCCTCTCCAGCTGTGAAGCAGGAAGGGCTGTGTTGGTTGTCCATCCCAGCACCACAGACACAGTAGTGAAAATAAGGAGCCAGGAGGAGTCACGTTAGGCCAGGGCCAGTGGATGAAGTCCAAGATGCTGCTTGCTTTCCCAAACACAACCCAAAGGCCAGCAGGACAGCATCGCGCCTGCTCCTCGCGGGCTCCTCGCGGGCTTATCGAGGGAACAGGGCGTTTCAACCAGGCCAGGCAATCTGCAGAACACTCTCTTTCTCCCTGCCTTCCTTTCCTGGGGATAAGATAAGGTGTTTGTGGGAAGCTGACCTGCCCCAGGAGGTGCCACGTGGAGCAGGGCATGGAGCGGGCTCTGCAGCGGGACCCAGCAGGACCCCGCAGGGCTGAGCAGTGACACCCAGGGATGGTCCCTGCTTCAGTGCATGGCCGGGGCTTGTGCTGGCTGCAGCCATGCTGGGCAGCTGGGAAGAAGGGTTAGGCTAAGCCTAAACAGAACAGCACACTGTGAACTCGCTCCCTGTGACGTTTATGGAAAAGCTTTAGAAGGAAACCAGCTCCTTCACAGAATCTAAAAGAACAAGAGTAAAAGGATGAAGCAGAGTCTCTCCGGTCTCTGTTGCCCAATTTCAAGATCTTTGAAATGTTCAGTCATCAGATTGGTCTGAAATTGGCCTCCAGGCTGCACATCGTGGACAGAGAGAACCCCACAGGCACGCACAGAAAATGTGATTGCAGTAATTTTCGCAGGAAATAGGGCTCAATATGCCAGGCAGTGATGCTGTGAGGCCGTTCTCAGACAGGCAAATGCTCCGTATGCAGTGCCAGCAGGGAGGGCTGCGATCCCGGGCCCCGGACACCCTGATGCTGCAGGATGTCGTTTCCAACAGAAAACATTCGCTTTCCTTGCCCATCGGAAACACGGCTGCCGGGTTTCCCGTGTCCCTGTCCTCGTGGAGCTGCTCGGCTCCTGGCAGTTGTTTTTCACCCCCTTCTGCCTCCCGTCATGTCTTACACCACAAACTGGTTTCAGTGGAAACGCCAATAGCCTCCAAATCGCAGCCCTTTAGAATGCCAGGGCTGCACTGGTTATGCCGGAGCTGCCTTAAGCACCACTGGCTTTTCGGCACTTTCTAATTATGAGATGATGGGCAGGGTCTGATTTTAGCCAAAGGAGCATTTGCGCTCAGCAGAACCGCCCAGCAAAGGAGAGAATTTCCAAAATAGCTCCATGGGCTGCAGGGAGCAGCCGTGGGATGGGCGATCCCCCCGGCGCTCCCAAATGGCGATTCCTGATGGCCTGGAGAGAGAAACTGCCCTGAAATTTCAGGGTGGGAGCGCAGGGCTCAGTTGGCGGCAGCCGCGGCGTTTCCACAGGCATGTGGTGTCCTGGGGGACATCACAGGAGAGATGTTGACAGTCCTTGGATGCTCAATTCTGTAGCGCCAGCTCAGAGCCAGGGCCGCATGTGGCACCTAGGAGCACTTAGGGGCCAGGTGGCCCCGTCTGACGGCGGCCGCCCCACTGCGAAGGGCCCCGCACCGACCTGCCCCGGGGCTCCCTGCGCCGCTCTGCGGGGTCCCGCTCCGCGGCGAGGCACGTGGGTGCTCTGCGTGACCAACGCACGCGGCCTTGCACGCTGCCACGTGCAGAGCTCACAGCCACCCGACAGACCCCCCTTCAAGACTGTAATGGCATAAACAGAAAAAAACAAATAAACAACTGGAAAAACAGGCTTAATTTAGGACTCCGAAAGCAGGAAACATGCACATGCGCTGGTCAGAGTGCAAATATTTTCTTCCAGAGCTGCTTTCTAACAGGGTTCAGGTGGTGCTGGATGGATTAAAAAAAGAGGGTTCCCAGCCCCTCCGGAAGGCAGAGCAGCCACAGAGCACTGCTGTCATTCAGCATCTCTCCCTGGTGCTCCAGCCTTTGGCTTTCGGTTCCCACAGTGTATACTGAAGCTATTCAACCATTTGGCTAAAGGCAGATGGGCAAGGAGAGAAAGCAAAGCCCAGCGAGAGGCAGAAAGGCAGCTTTTGTGCTCGGTGTGCTTGCAGAAGGCAGCCCAGGCCCTCAGTGCCACTGCTCCCTGGAGCAGGGCTGGTTGATGCCACTCCGAGAGCTGGGCTCTCCCAGCCCCACTGCTGCGTTTGGGGGCAGCGATGGGGAAGGGGTTTGGAGGCCCCTCATGAGCAGCCCCTGTGAGCGGCACTGCCAGGGTGCTCTGCAAGAGCCTGACCCTTTCTCGTCTGCAGGAAGGCATTTCAGCTCCCTTGAGGTGCTGTGGGGCACACGCAGCACCACGCAAGGTCCCTGGCTGCCCTGGGGACAGCAGATCTCTGTGACCATTCTGCCACACGGATCTGGCCCAGGCTACCTGGAAGGGACAAGGGAAACCGGTCTGCATAGGCAAGAGCCTCCAGCCTGGCCCTTCCTGCTATTGTCCCTCGGCACATGGTGCCTGTTCCCGGAGCACCTCCCGGCGCGTAGTGGGAGCGTAGTGACACTCAGGGATTTATTCCACCAGCCTGAGGCGGCGCGACAGTTGCGGAGCCACTGGGATTCCCACAGGGAATTTCGCTTTCCCGTAGTAATCACTCCCAGCGGGTGGGGAGCGCCCAGGGCTGCCCCGTCTCTCTGAGCCCTGTGCACCCATTTCCAACACACGGATGAGAAAATGCGGAAACAACAAACGCAGCCTGTTCCCTGTGAGCACGAGGAGACGACCGAATGCAGCAGAAATCTGTTGTGTCCGAGTGTGCCCCTGTCTGTTTGAGCTCAACTGCCCCCCCAGTGGCTCCCGCTTGGGCTTGCGCAGGCGCCCGGGCAGAGCTTGGCCCGCAGCGGCCGGCGTCAGCACGGGGCACAATGCACAGCAGTCACAGCCGGGCTCGCCGGCTTAGTCTGGCACGCAGAGCTTTAGAAACCCCCACGCAGCTATTGTGAGAATGATCCCACTGCCCGCCTGGGAACGGCGCCGGGGGCGG